CATTTCTAACTGGTCCTTTTTTATGGTTTCTATATCCTTTTTTATGCTGTTGAGCATCCTTACAATCCTTCTCAGAACTCTATATCTGATCAATTGTTTACCTCTACTTCATTTAGCTCTCCTTCTAGAGCATTCTCACGTTCCTTCATTTGGGGCCTGGTTCTTTGTTTCCCTATTTTGGCTTCCTGTTTGTGTTTGTTTCTATGTATTAAGTATATCTGCTATGATCCCTCATCTTGATAGAGTGGCTTTATATAGTAGGTGACCTGTGGGACCCAGTGGCATAGTCTCCCTGATCACCAGAACTGGGTGCTCTATGAATGCCCCCTTGTGTGCATTGTATGGGCTTTCCTGTTGTAGTTGAGTCTCTCTCTCTCTCTCTCTCTCTCTCTCTATATATATATATATATATATATTACTGATTTTCCACAGAGAGGAATGGAGAGGGACAGAGAGTCAGAAACATCAATGAGAGAGAAACACCGATCAGCTGTCTCCTGAACACCCACCACTAGGGACATGCCCGCAACCCAGGTACATGCCCCTGACCGGAACCGAACCCAGGACCCCTCAGTCCCCAGGCCGACGCTCCATCCACTGAGCCAAACCGGCCAGGGCTGTAGTTGAGTCTTGATTGCTATTGGCCCATTCATGAATGGGCTCTACCATCAGGCTGGCTGACAGGGAGCCTCAACCCCCAACACAGTATGGAGGCTGCTATCTAGGTGCTGATCACATGAAACAGAATTCACCTCAGCAAGATTTAGTGCCTGCCAATGTTTCCCTGTGAATATGCTGCTTGTGAAGCTTGTTGCATTTTGCTCTATTGTGTCTGAAGCTGGCCACTAGGTGTATTGATTCTGGGCCTCTTCGGAGGGACTCTGGTGCAGGCCAGTGTCTGATACTGTCTGTGATTGGCCCTGAGCAACTTGTTCGGAGCTATCAGCAATCCACAGCTTATGACTCCCTCTTGTAGGCCTGAGTTCATGTGGAAAGAACCAAGCTGCACACCAAGTTCTGCTTTTGCTAGCCCCCAGCTCAGGAGTACTTCAGGCAAAGATTCAAAGCACCCAGGGATTGCCTTTGCCTCCAGCTGTCTGTTAGTCTCAGTCAGTTAATGAGTCTCTGGCTGTAGTCCTCAGCAGGGCATAAGCTCCACAGGGTGGGGAGAGAGGGATTCCAATAGATGGGGCTATTGTTTCCCCCAAAGCTAAAGCTACATGGATGGGAAAGGTCTGCCTAAGAAAGATGGCTTCTGCAGTATGGAGGAATGACTCAGCTCAAGGATCCAGGCAGCTCTCCTCTCAGCTCTCTCCCCAGAGCCACTAACCCCAGGCTCTCCTCACACAGATCTAGTCCACTCTACCCTTTCTCTGCCAGAGCCCAAGGGGAGTGGCTACAAGCAAAATTTTGTCCATTGGTCCTTAAGAGGGTA